CGTAGGTGTTGATTACGCAGGTCCCTTAACCTCAGTTAGTCTTCAAGGTCGTGGATGTAGATTAGTGAAGGTCTATATCGTTATTTTTGTATGCTTTACGACAAAAGCCATTCATTTAGAACTGGTAGGCGATTTGACTAGCAATAGTTACCTGCAGGCATTATCTAGGTTTATTTCTCGGAGAGGTAAACCTCTTAATATATATTCTGACCGTGGAACGACATTCACAGGAGCTTGTAATGAAATTACAGAATTTTTAAAACAAAATTGTAACTCTATATCTGACAGCGCGGCTCGTGACGGAGTTAACTTTCATTTTATCCCTGCCTATGTTCCACATTTCGGCGGTCTTTGGGAGGAAGGTGTTAAGTTGACTAAATTTCATTTGATGCGAGTGCTAGGCAATTGTCACCTTACTTATGAGGAATTTAACTCTGTGATAGTTCAAATTGAAGGAATCTTAAATTCTCGGCCTCTCACTCCTTTATCGTCGAATCCTGAAGATTTGTTGCCTCTTACTCCCGGTCACTTTTTAATTGTACCTGTAAAGGATCTTCGTGATTGCTCCAGTCACATGTTAACTCGACACCACCGCATTGAACAACTCCGACAGCATTTTTGGTCAAGGTGGAGTAAAGAATATGTGTCAGAATTGCAGCTAAGAGTCAAGTGGAAATCCTCTACGGATGCACTAAAATTGAACTGTTGTCGTTATTAAATACGACAACTTGCCGCCAATGAAATGGAAATTGGGTCGAGTTATTGCTCTTCATCCTGGCACTGACGGAATCTCCAGGGTGGCTGATATTAAGACTGCGACCGGCATCATCAGACGAGCCTTTTCGAAAATCTGCCCGCTGATAGAAGAGTCCTGTTGAATGCAAGCCTTCAACGGCCGGGGGCATGTTTAAGCTTCCGTAATTTAGTTTAAGTTAGTTATAAGCAATTTTTTGTATAACAAAGTTATTGCGGTCAAAATTAATCAGGCGCTTCGCCATATGTATCTCTTTTTGCATACTCATTGTCAATTGCTATTAAAGCCCCTTACTGACCGGTTGATTTTTATTTTATCATCGCCACATCACCCGTGATTATTACCAAATTAATTTATACAATTATATAGATATGTTTCATAATACACATTTCTTAGATTATACTTTTTTTTCAATTAAATATTCTATAGTAATATGATATAAATAAAGAGTAGGTAGGTATTTAATTTTATACAATAATGTATTTTTCATTTTTTATATTCGTCGCCTTAGAGAAAGAAATTTAAAAGCATTGGATATACGTAGTATAAAACTCAAGCTTGTAACTTTTTCTGTACACAATATCAAAGGGATTTTATTTTAATTAAATTTGGTTTCGGATTTCCTTTTACTTTCATGACTGAAATTGTGTTTTATATGATGTCATAAGTACATAATAAAGATTATATAATTTTGCAGAAGGCTTGCCTTCTTCTTGGCATATGAAAAAACTATATCTAGATTTTGTTGACATCTGGATTACGTAATTAAATACACTAAAATTACTTTGTTCCTATAACCATCTTAACCAAAATTGGTATTATGTAGCCTTTAAAACGATATAGAATTTGTTTTTTAAAAAGCAAATCCATAGATAATCTTTTAGCTCCACCATCAGAACAGTTCCATGGTACCATATAAATACATTGCCACCGAAATTATATTGATATGACCTTTTTCAGTTCAATTTTATGAATTATGAAAGTTGAACCGGGTAGACATTAGACAGACATACAAACAAATAAAGAAAGCTAAATAAGAGTTATTTAATATGTAACGATATCCTGAGTTTTTTGAGATGCTTAATCTGAAGTAAAATGTTAAAAGGATAGGATATTAACAGTAAATAACGTCCCTCTTTTGTATTCAAGTACTTTGTATTTAGATGTTGGTTCGACCAACATTTTGTACAAAGTTATACGAATTTCTCTTTCAACCAACTTGATTGTAAGAGAAACTCGTATAATTTTAGCTGCTACCATTAAAACAATCCAAATTTAATTCCTCTGAATTTTTGTTACATAACGACAGCCGCTAATTTATAAAACATTACGTTTTAACGTTTGTATAGATTTCTCAGAGATGGGATATTTTCCCGCAGTAAAAAGTATCATATATGTTGATCCGGGTAACCAGCTATCATCATATATTTTTTTCTATAAGAAAATTTCATCAAAATCGGTCCAGTGGTTTTCCCGTGATGCGTTCCCACACAGACAAAAATTCTAAAAACTATAGATTAATAATTACTATTTCAATAAGATTTTCCAAGAAATATTAAATGTACAGATTCGCCTCAGTTAGAATCCATATTAATATTATAAATGTGGAAGTGTGTTTGTTTGTTTGTCTTTCTTTCACGTCGAAACGGAGTGACAGATTGGCGTGATTTTTGGTGTGAAAATAGTTGGAGAGCTGGAGAGTGACATAGGCTACTTGATATTGCGGGAGATCATCTCATTCCCACGGGAAAACACGTTATAATACAATCCAAAAATTGATTTCTGATCAGGGTTACTTAAAACTTAGTATTAATGCTCTTCAATACAATTAAATAAATACGTGTTTTAGCATTTCTTGAAATTGATCCTATAAGGGGGTAAAATAGGGGATGAAAGTTTGTATGTGTACCTAAGTACCTACCTTTTTCGAGATTTTTTAGTTGTAGTTTTTGTGCGAGCGAAGCCGCGGGTTCTGCTAGTTTTATTATATGTATAGATAATATTGTCTTTCCCGCATTATATCAATTTGGTCTACATCTCTTCTTCTATCAAATTATCAATATCTATAATTTTTGTCAATTAGTGACATCTATTCTCAAACTGTTAGTGCCTATAATTGTAGTCACTAGTCATTATATTGATGATTTAGATTACAGTTGAAATTAGCTTAACTTAACCTATCATACCATCTACGAGTAGTACAATTTTAACTAAGGAAAATTAATTTACATTTTGATGTATGTCGTAGATCCAATTAATCGAGGAATAAGGAATACATCTGAACAGAAATATTTATAGATTAAATTAGATTAGAACTACCCTAGTTTTTTGGGTAATCATCTATCTACACTTTATACAGATAAATAAAATTGAGGTGTCTGTTTGTAATGTCAAAACAACAGCGTTTTACTAAATGCATATGAAATTATATAGGGTACTTTAAGAAAAACTCAATTTTTAAAATTTTTGTCTGTCTCTCTGTCTGTTTGTTCCGGATATTCTCTGAAACGGCTGGAATGATTTTGACGCTGGTTTTATAGGGAGTAACATACGTTACTTTTATTTTAGAAAAAGGATTAGAGTTCCGCTCAAAAAAAAAACGTACCTAGGGACGAACACGAGCGAAGCGAGAGTGAGTCGTTAGTAGAAATTATAAAAAAAAGGTAATAATAGTTGAAAGAACGTCTGGATGTGCTTGCTGAAACTTTCTCCACTATTAAAAAACGGCTTAGGTCAAGCCGGTCAAGGAAACGGCTTAACGACTATCAATGTTCATCTAAAAACATCGTATATTTACATAAAATCATTCTTGTTTTAATTAAATATTTTTTGTAACTATGTGACTATAAAGTAATTTTTCTATTTGAAATTTCTGTTATTCAAAACGGCCAATATCAAAATAGCAATCATAAAAAAAATGTTTTTCTATCTGTCTGTTTCACCCGGTCACTTTGCAGAATGTAGTGGCTGGGAGGATTTCGCTGCGTTGCATACAAAATTAATAATTTTACTACTCTCTATAAATATTCCGCTATGAGTGGATAATATTTTATTTTTTTACGCGTTACCTTCATAAATAGTTTTATGTAGCGGGACAAAAATTGATAGAAAATGATCTCGATGAATTTACATTACCGAAGGGGGCTAAAAGTAAAATTTATTCATATTCGCGGAAATTATATAATAAATATCTAGCTTTCTATAAAAATTAGTACCATCATCAGGGCACCGAAAAATTTGATTGCCATGTTTTGAAATGAAAGATTGTCCGGATGATCGCAAAAGTATCTAGTCAGAAATTACTGTGCATTTTTACTTTTAAAAATGATAACCATGTGCAAATTCGAGTCAACACTCTCAAAGACGAGTATAAAGCAAAGCAAAATTTAATGAATAAATATATTAATGAAATATTAAACAATTTCAAATTTAAAATCAACGATGAAATATTTTAATGAGAGTAAGATAAACAATTATTTTTAAATAAAGAATTACTAAATATTTCAGATGAAATCAGGGAGGTGGATTTTTTTTTGGGTAATAATAAAAAGGTTTGAATGTTTTCAATATGGTTTTCCAGAAAATTATCTAGAGACGCATATTACATGAACAATTTGCTATTTAAATCGATTCTAAGCAGCCCTTTCGTTGAACAATATTGTATTAGAAGAGAAACGTGCGCCGGAGGGTATCAAAAATTTTCAGTTGAACAATCTATAGATATATTTTTTTATTGAAAATTCAAGTAGCTACAAAAAAATAACTCTTATTCATATTATTTACATATTATAATTAATCTTTGAATCTAATCTAAGTTTTAAAATGTAGTAAGTATAATTTAGTCCCTCAACGACCGCGGACACGCCGGCGTTACAGTTAACAATAGATTTCTTGGAAATTTAATTAATTTCTTAGAAATTGACCTGGAGGTGTAGATTTTAAAATGAACAATTTTTAGTTTCATGATTTTGAATTTAATTCGAATTACATATAATTGCAGATAATAATGTTACACTTTAATCCCTCCACGACCGCAGACACGCCGGCGTGTCAGTTAACAAGAGATTTCTTAGAATTTTAATTAATTTCTTAGAAATTTACCTGGAGGTGTTATTTTATGTGTATGTTGTACATGCCCTTCATGTTGAAATGGCTAGACCAATATGGATGAAAAGTATCCAGATAGAAACCTATTCCCGCACCCGAGTGAATCAAAAGCTGGTATAAAATAACCATAGCGCTGTACCTTCAAGTCTAGCAACGAGGCGGCCAACTCGCTTAGCTTCCACCTCATCCAGTTTCTCAGCTCGCTTGACGACAGCGGCTATAGCGTCGCGCTCACTCGGAGTCAGCGGGGGGTCGCTCCGAGCCGCGCTCCATCCTGTGCGAAGCCTGTACACCGAACAACTTTTAGTATTGGAGGTTTACATGAAAATGGTATTATGCCATTATAGTTACATGCTTAATGTGTATTAAATTATTTACTATATTTTCTGATATATTTAATTCGAGGCAATATTGTGTTTTGGTAAAAATTGTACTGGTAATAAAGAACTGAAAAAAAGTGCGTGTGTGCACACACACATGGTAGAAGTGAAACTTCAGAAAAATAACCTACGAGGGAATGAGATGAATATAGAGTATCAGTAGAATAATTATAAGATTTATTTTTTTATAATATTTTTACCAAGTTTAAAAGTTACTTTATATTTAATTTGACATAAATATTAAATAATACATTATATATTATTCAGTAAATAATTTTATTATTTTTCATTTCCTGTGTAATATACTCTATCTCAAATATTAAATAAGGTATATTAGACATATTACAATCATGTACCTATTTATAGAATATCATATACGGAAAGAATATAATATTATAAACACTAAAGAACAATACTAGAAACTTTATTACATAAATATAACAATTAATTATTTATTTTTAAACACTTGTATTAATTTCTGGTTTGTGAATTCTTTAACAAAGACTATCCAGTGATGCACCGATTCGTATATCGCGCTAGCCCGAGAAAAAGTAAAGTCAACTTGACAAAGACTCTTGACAGCTTGATGTAATCACGGATTAATTATCAAATATTAAAATAGTGGATTTATCTGGATTTTTCTGGATTATATGGAAACATGGCAATTTGTTCTATTTCATTCTCTCGCCGGCTTAATCCTATATATTTACGTGTTTATCTCTTTTTAGTGCCGCATTTCCGTTTCATCGAGTTTCAAATCACAACGATTCTAAAGAAGTTTCACTTCAATAATAATTGAAGTAAATATAATAGGACTCAGAAATTTTTGTAAACGAAAGAAGGTGAAAAAAAGGAAAATGCCTATGGTAAATAATAAATATATTCGTATTGTTCATATAAATTTCTATTCCGGGCTTAGCCACGTTGACATTTTACAATCGCTATTGTTACTAGAAAACTAACACATGTATGGAAATGACATATTTAAGCGCTATGTCACATCGTCAAAAGACGTCATTCCCATACATATTTTAGTTTTCTCTTAGTAAAAACGAATATAATATTATCTTGTCTAAACCTCCCGGAGCCCGGTTCGATAACGAATAGTATTTGGCACTGTCACCCATCACCAACCTAACTAGACTAGGCGGTGTGTGGAGAGCGGAATGAGTTTTTTGTCAACATATTTTTGTATTAAAAATTACTAACGACTTACCCCAGCTTTGCTCGGGTGCAACCCTAGAGGCCTAACAATATAATCTATGTTTTATTTAAAATAACCCATGTGTTACTTTAGGTCTATCAGCTGTGTACTAAATTTTATCCACATCAGTCTAGCCGTCATCAGTTACAGAATTAAGAAGTAACAAACATACACAAGGACGTATTCAAAAATTTCATGCTGTTTTTTTAGTTTTTCTTACAGGACTGTACTGATATTTCTACTAGAATTTCTTAAATAATTAAACCGACTTTAAATTTAAAAGCATATTTTGACTCGAAGGATTTTGAAATAGACAACTATGACAAGCCATGTAAAACAAATTAGACGGATAAAGCCTGAGGCTGTCCATTTTATGATACTAAAAAATTACACTGTACACCCGCAAATTTTCCATATGATCCTTGTGTTCTTGTTTATTTTATAATATGTATGCATGAGTGATATTAAAGAAATTTTCTTTAGACGAGGGTGCTTAGTAACTGTAGCCTCGAATTATTATTCCATTTTGCGCTATGACAGGTGTGTTTTTATAAGAAACGGAAGATGCATGTCAGAGCTGAAGCTGTTGGTACATAATGTGGATATTTTATTACATCGCATTATATATTACTAGCAGAACCCGCGGCTTCGCTCGCGCTAAAACCACAAAAAATCTCTAAAAAAGGTAGGTTTCGAACCAACTTTCATCAGATATTTAGCCCCCTTATGGGATGAATTTCAAAAAAATGCTAAAACACGTATTTAATTAATTGTATTGAAGAGTATTAATACTTTTTTTTGCATTGTATTATAACGTGTTTTCCCGTGGGAAAGAAATAATCTCCCGCGGTAAAAAGTAGCCTATGTCACTCTCCAGACCTCCAACTATCTCCACACAAAAAATCACGCCAATCCGCTAAGCCGTTTCAACGTGAAAGAAAGACAAACAAACCAACAAACACACTTTCACATTTACGAGTATAATATTAAAGTATGGATTAACGCAGTAAATATTTTCAATCAAGGATATAATTTCATAATTATTTTTTCATTATAATCTACTTTTCTTTCTTAGCCTTAATTAATTAAGGTCACTTTCAACCTGTTTCACTCCTTACATATTTAACAATTGCAATTATTATAATTACTAGCAGAACCCGCGGCTTCGCTCGCGCTAAAACTACAAAAAAATCTCTAAAAAGGTAGTTTCATACAAACTTTCATCCCCTATTTTACCCCTTATAGGATGAATTTCTAAAAATGCTAAAACACGTATCTATTTAATTTTATTCAAAAGCATTAATACCATGTTTCAAGTAATTCTGATCATAATTTTTTTTTGGATTGTATTATAACGCGTTATCCCGTGGGTATTAGATAATCTCCCGCAGTAAAAAGTAGCCTATGTCACTCTCCAGCCCTCCAACTATCGCGTCCATACAAAAAAATCACGCCAATCTGTCACTACGTTTCGACGTGAAGGAAGGACAAACAAACAAACACACTTTCACATTTATAATATTAGTATGGATTATTAGTTATTACTTGTAGGATAAGAAAATTTGAAGAAAAAAAACTCAATTGACTTCAATTTTTACTTTTAAAAAATACACTGTGTTTATCAGGGGGTGGAATCCCCGCCAAGCAATTCATTCGTTTATCGTTTTAAATTCTTAAAGAAATGGGAGACCTAAGTAATTTTATATCAAATTTTATTGAGTATGAAAATAATAAAATAGTATAATTATGTTTTCTATACCTGCCTCTAACCTAATATGTACATTAATTTGTATACAAACTATAAAGTTTATCAGTTTGGTATGAGTTGCAAAGATAAGAGGAGTTTCAGTGATATGCAACATTCGAGCAGCGATTACGTTAAATATTGAAGTTACAGTTATCTAACCCACAAAAAATCCTGTTGTTCTTCTGTTAAATATACACTTATTTATAACGCTAATACTAATTTATTTATATTCTATTAGTACTATGTATATATTCAGCCCTGCTCAACGTCCCACTAATAAGCACAGGCCTCCCCTTCAATATGAGGGGGATCAGGCCATAGTCCACCACACCGGCCAATTGTCTTTCGAAAACTTGCTAGATTCTCTCAGACATGCAGGTTTCCTCATGATGTTTTAATTCACCGTAAGGCAAGTGGTAATCATGTAAGAAATGATTCGCACATGAAAATATCAGAGGTGCGGGACCCGGGATTTGAATTAGTTTCACTCGGTCACCCAAGCGAGCGCGTTACCACTGGACTACTACTGCCTTATTACTATTGCTTATTGATTTTTAATAGAATTTCTCTATAATGAATATAATAAAGGTGTTATATGAACAATCTTAATAATACTTAATTATTATTGCTTTTTGCAGAGCTTTGTGGAGGGTGTGAAATCATGGACATAAGATTCTCAGAGATAAAACAACGTTGTCCTTTACTTTGTCAACATAGTATTTAGAGCGTTAATATTCGATATTTGAGTTTGGAGTTGCTCATTTTCACAATAACGGAGAAATTCTCAGCACACAAATTACCTTTTAATTATGAAACTGACACACATGTTTCTCTCGATCACTGCGATTTTGCTTCTTGAAGTAATATTCTAATTTGCGTGGAAGAGAAATTAACATCCACCAAATATTTAATATTGAGACGTTCGATCGTTTGTCTTCAGAACGAACCTTTGGAAATTATTTTTATTATATACCTACTACAAATTTTGTTGGTTACTTTTGTTAAATAATGTCCGTCCTGTCTCATTCCTGTTCTCTATTCCCATGCAAGTCATATTCAACTACCAAACTCTTTTGATCCCATAAATAAGAATAATATTAATTCCTAGACCACTCATGTCACTATATATTTTACTTGCGAGTAGTGATTTACCCCCACTTCGCTCGGGTGCGTCCCTAAGTACGTTTTAATTTTTTGTAAGCAAAAGCGTAATTCTTTTTCTAAAATAAAAGTCTACGTTAGTCCTTATAACATCAGCTATCTGTCAGTGAAAATCCCATCAAAATCAGTTTAGCCGTTTCGGAGATTAGCCATAACAAATAGACAAACAGACAAAAAAAATTGTGTCTTATTGTAATAATTTCATTTGCATTTAGTAAAAAGCTGTTAAATTTTATTTATTTGTATAGATAGGTATGTAGTTATATATTAATGGTATGAGTGCTAATTTTCACTAATTCAATTAAGTGTTACGGGCTTACTAATATGAACATTTTCCTCAGAAAGTGAACGTTTGTGGTTCATTCCAGAGTTAGTAACTAGTTAACTCTTGCTATAGTAGTTGTTGTTTGCATACAAGTTACAATTAAAGCTTGGATGAATAGGTTTTACTCGTAGTACAATATCTTTAACACATATATCATTATTTAAAACTTAGCTTAAACTTTCAAGATAGCAACTTTTCTTGGCTTTCAAGATAGGTTTGGATTTTCAGGTTTATTGCCTCTACTTGCTAGTGTAAGAAGTCCCATCAGAATCATTAGGTTATTTTTTATTTAAATCTGTTTTGTCATTTAGGCGCCGGCTCAGAGGGAAATCCCATTGGGTATCCGGAATAAAAAATGCACAAGCACTTTTTCGACTTCGGAAAGCAACTTAAATTCCATTTTCAATCGCCGTATCAAAATGCCATAAATATCTAACTGTTACGTGTATTAAATGTACTTAATTAAATTATTTTTTGTTTACGTTTTTTTTTTAATTTAATGCTTGAATTGTTGACCTAAGCTTTTTTAAATAAAAATGTTTGAAAGCATAATAATATTATGGCAATATATACTATAAACAATTTTATTCAAAAAAAGCTTAGCATAATACTTTCTTAGATTTACGCGAATATTTGACATTTTAAATAAAACTATCTTTTCGGATTTTGTCGCGGATTTGTTTGCATTTTTGTTTCCCAACAAAAATGCAAATAAATCCGCGACAAAATCCGAAAAGATAGTTTTATTTAAAAAGCTTAGTATTTTAACATTTTAATGACAGATCTCGGTCAGAATGAGATAATTGTTATTTAATATTCCTAGTAGGTAAATGTAACAGCTTGAAATTTAAATTATTTTAATTTATTTACGCACAATATATCAAACATCGCGATTAACTACCATACGTACTAATCTAGTTTCAAATCACAACAATTCTAAAGAAGTTTCACTTCAAAAAGAAGAAAATCGGTTTACTTTGCTTATCTAGGTAGGTATAAAGAAATTTTATAAATATCTATTTCCCAACGATTATAGAAAGACATCTTACCTAACCTCTAAGGTATACAACAATGCAACTATAATAATAAATACTTATATTTCGAGAGTATTGTAGGAATTTGGTAATGACATTTGAGATTACGCAAGCTAGCTTTGTTTTACATAATAATAGAGTAGGAAACTCGCCGCTCACGTTCCAATTGTGTCTACACTTATAACATAACTAAGTACACGAATATTTTACTATAAAACCTCATTTTCGTTTACAAGCAAGGGTTTTAGAAGCATATCTATATATATGTTTAAACTATATTCCATACTAATATTTTTATTATTATAAATGTAAACTCTGTTTGTATGTCTGTCTGAATGTTACGTTTTCACAGCTAAGTCGCTGAACTAATTTTGATAAATATTGGTATAGAGATAGACGGGACCTTGAAGAAGGACATGGCTACTTTTTATTGCGAAAATAAAACTTGAAGAGATTAAAATGAAAGTATTAAAGTGCTATGCTTTTGCTGCTAGAGACAAAGATGAGTTATATATTCTGGTATATTATAAATATTAAATATTTATGGAAAATAAATAGTGATATAATAAAGTGAAGATCAAAGGAAGCGAGTGTGGGAATATTATAAATGCAAAAGACTCCTAGAGGCACGCATACTAGAGCGAGACTACTTGTACTTAATATTTGTTATTAGCTTGGAAAAAAAATGCTTCAAAGCTACACCCACTAATCTTTTCTTACGATTTTATTATCTATATAAATATAAATAATATATTATAAAAGTGTATTCAGTAATATTAAACATTTTCAATCGACTTCCAAAAAGGAGGAGGTTCTCATTCGTCGGAATCTTTTTTTTATGTATGTTCACCGATTACTCGAAGACGTATGAACGGATTTGTAAAATTCTTTTTATGCCTCCCAGGTGGTCCCATTTAAAGTAAAAAAATCAACAATTAATTATTTAAAATAAATGGCTTAATCGAATATGTTATTAAAAAACTTTCTTCTTACAAATTACCTGCTTATTACGTCTACACTAAAAATTGAAAAATAAAAACTTAAAGAACTTGACTTCCAGTTAAGTTTCGTTGTTTTTCTATTAGTCCTGTTTAGTTATTTTTTACTTTTTAGTGCCTGGAAGTCGGTTTTTATTTAATTTTTATAACTAGCCTGAAACATACATATTTATAAAAAATGTAGTAATCTATGACATAAATTTAGCAAGCAATAGAACCTTTTTGAGAGGAAAAATAAGGTTTTCAGATACCATGTTCACTATTTTAAAAATTCATTTATTAAAATAGTTCTGAAAAAAATCCATCTGCGTAAAAAGCGTACTAAAATGATAGAACAGTCAGTCTGTTATCTATACATACGTATATAAATAGGCAAAAAAACAGTGCATTACTACTACTTTTTCTTCTTTTTAGTCAACTGACTTTCTTTTTCAACCGACTTCAAAAAGGAGGAGGTTCTCAATTCGACTGTTTTTTTTTTTAATGTTTGTTACCTCAGAACTCCGTCATTTATTAACCGATTTGGACAATTTTTGTTTTGTTTGAAAGGATATACTTCCAGATTGGTCCCATTTAAATTTCAAAAAAAAATACCACCCCTAAGGTGGAAAAACAACTAATGATGAATTTAACCTACTTCTAATTGTCATATTGACTTGAAACTTTGCAAGTATTTCTATTTCCGTTGATAGTACAGTGGTTCGGTGTTGTTGACCTGATCTGATGGCAAGGCCAGAAGGTGGATAGGTGGAACTCTTCAACGGCTAATAGTAGATACTTTGAGTTTTGGCTTATTTCGTTTGATTTGACAAGTCTAACACGTTAGAATCCTTACTTTGCTACTACTGTCTACACTAAAAAGGGAAAAATAAAAACTTTTTAACAAAAAAATAAAAACCGACTTCAAACAAAAGCACTAAAAAGTAAAAAATAACTGATTGGTAGTTTTCATTTACTATACATACCTAATCAAATATTTTCGAAGTCGGTGTGCTTTGGCTAAGTAATTAAAGCGTACCTATTAAATACATACCTAATCAAATATTTTCGAAATCGGTGCCAGCCCATACAAAGCAAAGCACACCGACTTCGAAAATATTTGATTAGGTATGTATAGTAAATGAAAACTACCAATCAGTTATTTTTTACTTTTTAGTGCTTTTGTTTGAAGTCGGTTTTTATTTTTTTGTTAAAAAGTTTTTATTTTAGTACCTATTAATTGGAATGAGCCAGTGCAGTCACATTATGCAGTCTGAGTAGGTGTCTCCGTGGGTCATATAGCCAGACTCGCAAGTATAAAACTGTTTAAGAGTTTTATTTAGCTTTTTGACTTACGAACTCTTGAAACTCTTGTACCAGGAGTTCATAACTTATTCGCTCTACATTTATTCAGTCTAGAAATAGTTGGGATCCTAACTAGCACCAAAGGACCGAATAATTTAAAGTTAATTATAATTGTTATCGACGTCCCTATCAGGAAAACAGTGCTTCATGCAGGAACCGGAGCAGTAAGTTAAGTGGAAAATAATAATTAATGATGTAAATGATCAAGGATAAGTAAAAAACATCGACATAAACTATTTAAATTCGAAACTAGAAGGATCTAAAGTCTAAAGTCTAAACTTTATATTTTACGTATACTCTGCTCCTAACATGGATGGATGAATATTTTTATAAGTAAGTTTTTCTTGCATTTTTTATTATGGTATTTAACAAAATAATATAAATATATTATTTTGCTTGTACGCGGGTCTATCTGCGTTGTTTATATATGTATAATTGCTTTGCTCCAAAGTGTCGTGGTGTGATGTTACATAAAATTTTCTTCAATGTAAATGCAAAATGAATTTTTCATAAATTTTGGGTCAATATATGCCGACACTAAGGTTCTGCCAATAAGATGATATAACTTATACTGTGACCACCAATGTTATTCTTTTTCGTTGATCAAAATTTTTAAGATCTACGAGCAATAAAAAAAATAAACGACATTCAAATAATATAAGTACAGGCTACGTAATCACAAAGTACGTAAGGGTGGGATTATTGCCTACACGAATACAAATGCGAATTTAGTGTTAAAAAGGATTGGAGATTTTGTAGAACGTACCTTTCAGGTAAACTGTACCATTTCTAGGATCAGTAAAGGCGTAGTTTCCCAGAAATTCATATAACACACACACAGTACAGAATAGTAAACACACAGTACAGTATAGAATTAACGAATGAGACACGAAAGAAAAGTATCAAATTTCACAATAGAGAAATATTCCCTTATATTTTTAAGAAAGAAGCTTATAGAGCCGGT